GTGTCCTGAGCCTGAGCCTGTGGGATGTAGGCCTCGGAGGAATTAGGGTGACTCTTATTCAGGGTGATAGTTAAGTTCGCCATTCGGTTGTTGCCGCTAGCTGGGGTGGACATGGTTTTCTTTTAGGGCTTGTGTTTTTTCACTTAAGCTCGCTACGATGGTGGTTGCGGAGATGTTACGATGGGGGGCACCGCTTCCCTTCATTCTGCTCGTTGTCATGCTGGGGTTCTATGAGTCGGCGAACCAAGTGCAGGACAGTCTTCTCGAGCGAGGGTTCAGATCCAAGTTTGTATAAAGGTGGCGGCCCGTGAATTTGCTTGGTGTGTGATGTAAATGCATGGTATAGCACAGTGACCCTTTAGGGGTAAATTCTAAACCCTGGACCCTAAACCCTTATACCCCTAAACCCGGATTCCAAGCCACGCCAGGATCTGGACTTCATCGAGCTCTTCTCCGGCATGGGCCACGTGTCGCAATGCCTACGGCAGGAGCATCGCAGGGTCTTTCCGGGGTGTCGGGGCGAGCTGTGCGGGCGAGGATGCTGGGGCTCATGGATCCGCAATCGATTTGACGATTGATCCCCATGGTATGGACCTAACCACACCGGCGGGCTTTCTGTTGCTAGACAGCAGTGGAGGTTCTGCTAGAAGCTAATCAAACGTGGGTTTGCATTCTCAGGCTAGCCATCAATGAAGCCAAAAGGGTCCGGGAAGGTGGACTTGCAATCATGGCTCTGCCTTGCAACAGTTTCTCCATCATGCCCCTGGGCTGTGACTGGATCTCGCCATATGTTCGGTACCCGAAATGACTTAAATTTAGAGCTCAGGAGCAGAGCAAGCAGTGGCAGGGACGAAATATGCCCTAATGGCAATGTTGGCTACGGCTTTGTGGCGACTGGCAATTTGTTGTTGGGCCGGATCTGCTTAATTTGCTTGCTGCTCAGCTGCCGCAAAGTCCGCTGGTTGCTGGAGCAACCATCGATGAGTGCAGTCGTCTTTCATCCTTGGATGGACTTTCTTCAGAAACGAGTCTATGTGCCCTCATTGCATTTAAACTTGTAGAATGCCATCAGCTAAGCTTCCATGATCGATTGCCTAGGTATTACAGACCAAGTGGTACATGGGCCACTTTGGACAGCACACTGTCAAACCGCATCTGGGTTTCAGCAACGCTCGATCCCTCCTTCAGGGCATTGCTGCAAGAGCAGGATATCTCAGCAATTCGGACCGCGAGAAAATGACGAAGATTCGATTGGCTAAGCATTCAGAGAGCAAGTCACGGTTTGCAGCAAAGTTCACGGGTGTGAGAAAGAACCTCAAAGAAAGCCAGCTCCTGGACTGCATAAGATTGGCCACCTTACATTTTACCCGGAGCTGCAATCCCGTGGGCCTGACGAACTCTGTGATCCCAGGACCTACCCGACAAAATTTGGTTTAATGCTGGCAGACTACTGGCGAATGCACCCAGGCACTGCAACCTGGCAGCATAATTCAGGTAGTAAGTGCATCCTGTGATGCCACGCTGTATTATGCACAATAAGGACGAACTACGGGGGCCACGAGTCGCCGTGGATGTAGATATGCAGCAGACCGACTTTGAACTGTTTTGGCCCTTGCTGAAGAAAGCTACAACACAGGATTTCGAGCAGGCGCTTTGTATACTTGACATGCACCTTTCTTGATGTGGCTTTATATAAATAAGCAGCAACTTCGCAGTGAGTATGTGGCCAGGTCGAAATGCTATCTTGTGTGAAATATCTCCTACGCAGCCGCCACCTACATCTTCCTAGCCATTGGGAGTCCTGCTGGCAAAAGTAAGCCCCGAAAAGTGCGAGTGCTAAAAAAACCCGGAAAGCAAGCCCCGACCCTGGATCCCAGCCATAATTTTGAACGGGACACCCTCCTGTTCTTCCCAACTAAGGAGAAGGTCCGTGAGGAGCTGCAGAGATTCATCTGATCAAAGTGCCTGGGATCGGTTCTATGATGTCTAGGGGCTTCAGGCACAGCTCGGGTATGCATAGATTCGGAATACAGGTTTGGGGTCTTGGCTGTGTGCTCATGGCTTCGCCGGATGTGCCTCCGAATTTCTTTTTTAGGTTGTTGCAGTGCCAGTATATTAAGTACATTTGGTGAATAGCACATCGACAGCCAACTCTCCCGAACTGCAGGATTTCTCTCGATTTGACGGGGGTCTCGGAAGGGCTGTGTCAACGGGCTTGGAGAGAACTAGAGTACAGGGAAGCTTTTTTGGAGTTGCTAAGGTCTGGACTTTCTCAGGATTTCGGTCTGAAAAGTCTCGACCCGGCAGAGCTGTTTCTGCAAGCATTAGCTACAGAAAGTCTATAGGCCTGGGATGTTTTGTGGTGTCGTGGTTTCTATATCGGGATTGTTGGGATCGGTTAGCTAGGAGCGAAGCCCCACCGAATCCCCAAATACGTCGGGCCACATCTGTAAGAAAAGCCGCACAAATCCTTTCTTTCACCTACTTATTGGGACCCGAAATCCCGAGCACATCCTCGAAAAATCCCGGTCCAAGTCTCTCTTGGCTTATAAGCTAATTAATGAAACCTGCCAGGTCCCAAGCCCCCTAAAACCCAAGCTTCGCGAGCCTTGCGAGCTAGAGCACTATAAAGCTTATATAAGCACACAGAAAGTCCTTGCAGCTCAGGCCCCTCGATCCGCGGGTACGTGCTTCGATCGAATCTGAGCCTTAGATAAGCTACCAGGGAATAGTACTTTAGTCCGGGGTTCCAATATATTGGCTGGATTGTACTATTGTACTCTATAGCCAGGGTAGTGTTGAGGGGACTTTGGAGGCCTTGTGCAGGTCTTAGCTTCTGCAGAGAAGCAAAACGGATTCACGGGTTAGAGCTTCGGGCTTGTATTAGGGTGTGTGGGCTGGCCACATTAATATAGGCTTTGGGGAATCTCGTTTTTTTGCAGGAACTTAATGATGGGTTCAGGGCCCAAGCCTTCGGGATTTTTCTATGGGCTTGGAATTTGCGGTGTATTTGGGCCCCGGGTCCTGGTACTTCAGAGTGGCTCAGGAACCCCATATAAATTCGAGATATTGGTCCAGGCTAGCAAGGCACCGAACGAACTCCCGAAATCCTTACTTATTTCGGTTAACATTGAGGATGGTCATCGGGTTTGGCTTTGGGGTTTTTTGGGACCTATCTTTTCCGGCCTAGGATTTATGGGGCTGAGGGATTAGGAAGGGCCTTTTATAGCGATTTTACACAAACATTCCTACTTCGGCTTGAAGGTTTCAAGGGCTTTTGCATGGACTACACGAACCACCGAGTATCCCCCACATATGTCGTTTTAGGTTATAGTACATAACCCACACGGCCCAAGTACACTGGCCATATCCCTGTTACCTGTGTAGCAGCTAGCAACCTACAAGATCCCGAAATCCTCTGGCCCGCCCTCCTTATGCCTTTATAAGCTAGTATCTGCGGTGCCGATAATGGAATCGCACGAAACCCAGCAATACCCCAAAACCTTGAACCCCTTTCTAAGCCCTAATAGCTCAGACTGGCCAGGAACCGCACTCGCCACGAAATATTCCGGCAGCTCTCTTAAGGGCTTCGACTATAGGTACCAACCACAATCCCGAAATTTCCCGGTAGTTCTCTTTTGGCTTAGGTAGGCTGGGCATCGGTAGCTCTCTTTTGGCTTAGGCTGGGCATCGGTAGCTCTCTTTTGGCTTAGGCTGGGCATCGAAATATCCCTAAACTAAATTTAGTTTAGCCCCGAACGAGATCCCGGAAATACCGAAATATCCCGGCAGCTCTCTTGGCTTAGGTACCGAACGAAATCTCGCAAAATCCCGGCAGCTCTCTTGGCTTAGGAACCAACCCAAATCCCGAAATATCCCGGTAGCTCTCTTTTGGATTAGGCCGGGCGCCGAGCGAGATCCCGAGATATCCCGAAATATCCCGGCAGCTTTCTTTTAGTTTAGACTATAGGCCCCGAACGAGACCCGAAAATCCCGAAAAAATCCCGGCAGCTCTCTTGGCTGAGGTACCGAAAGAAATCCCGAAATATCCCGGCACCTCCCTTTAGCTTAGACCATACCAGGCGGAAGGAGACCCAGGAACTACCCCGACCATTAAAATCCCGGCACCTCTCTCGATCTCTTAGCTTAGGCAGGCACCGAACCACGTACCGGAAAAATCCCGACCCGTAAAATCCCGGCACCTCCCTCTTTGGCTTAGACCAGGCACCGAGCGAGATACAGTTTTTTGTATACTGACCCAAAATATACCCACACCTCTCTTAATTCGGCTTAAGCTAGGCACCGGGACTCTGCTAGGCTTAGACTATATAACACCAAATCCGCAAACATCCTGAAATACCCCGGACTCTCCATACAGGGCTTAGAGTGGAACTGCACCAAATCGAAACGTTCCGGCCCTACAAATATCTCTCCTGAAGCTATTCTGTATTAAGCATATATATATATATATATATAAACTAATGTATTACTCAATTACAATCGGCCAGTATACTGGCCGATTGCAATTAGGTAATACATTAATATGTAGTTAAGCCCTTTCTTCCAAGGCCCGTGTGGGGCTTGCGGGATCGATCGATCTCACCGATGATATCTCGCAGGCAGCACATGGCTCCTGCAGCATCGCTTGCAATGCTTATAAGCTAGCTGAGAGCAAGTGAGGAGGATGCCTCGCTCCAATCGATCTCGATCGATGGATTTAATTGGGTGGTTGTGGTTTTCGTGACTCTTGCTGGCACTGTCATGCATGCCGGAGCAGTGTGGGTGTGCCTTTTGTGTCATATTGCTACCGAGGAGAACCTTTGCTGCCTGATGCTGCTGATAAGAAAGCTCAGCGGGATAAAGCGTGAAAAGACCGTTATAATACACCCTAATGTGCGTTATTCAGCGTGGGAAAGCGTGATTGGTTTTTTGCACAGAACTTAACTGTTCTAAACGTGCTAGATCTGGCTCGAGTTTAGGATTTGCTGTGATCTCTGATCATGGGTGCTAAAGAGGTTGACAAGGCCCTCCGGGAATCCTTCAAGAAGGGCTTGGCTGTGCGAAAGAGCATAGCTGATCTCAAAGAAACTAAGAAGCTTGAGAAGGGTGAGAAAGCCAAGAAGACACGTGGCACTCTCAGTGTGGCCTCCTCGTCGTCTTCCGGGGTGCCAGATAATCCGCCCGTGTCGCTGGATGAACGTCTCAATGGACCCACCTCGCTAACATTGGGTGAGCTCATGACCAGTGAGCGGCTCAATTATGAGGATGCCTTAAGGGTTTTTCTGAATGTCAGGCAGGAGTTTGAGGAGCAAGCAAAGAACGAAGCCAAGGCAAACTCTAAAACCTCTGGCAAACGCAAAGCCGAAGAGACACCGAACGAGGAAGAGGATGACGAGCTTGATTGCCCGGACCCTGCCAAGCCTCCAAAGGCCAGCCCCAAGACCCGAGGCAAGCCGAAAGCCAAGGGCAAGGCGAAGCCCCTGCCCAAGGAGCCTGAGGAGGAGGAAGAGGAATCTGATGACAATCAGGATCCCGGCAAACTGTTGAAGGCCACCCCAAAGACCCGAGCCACGCCCAAAACCAAGAGCAAAGCCAGCCGCACCGCCAAAGAGCCACAGGAGGAGGAAGAGGAAAAAGAGGATTCCCCGGAGCCCGCCAAGCCCCCAACCCGAGCCACGCCGAAATCCAAGCCAGATCAGGAGGATAAGGAGCACGACCTTGCCATCCTTCCAAAGGCCAGCCCCAAGACTCGAGCCAGCCCAAAAGTGAAAGCCAAGGGCAAGCCCAAGCCCCTGCCCAAGGAGCCAGAGGAAGAGGAAAAGGATGATTCACCGAAGTCTGGCAAGCTTTCCAAGGCAAACCCAAAGGGCCGAGCCACGCCGAAAGCCAAGGATGAGGAGCACGATTCCCCGGACCCTGCCAAGCCTCCAAAGGCTAGCTCCAAGACCAGAGGCAAGCCCAAAGCCAGGGGAAATGCCAAGCCCCTGCCCAAGGAGCCTGAGGAGGAGGAACAGGAATTTGATGAAAATCAGGATTCCGCCAATCTGCCAAAGGCCACCCCAAAGAGCCGGGCCACGCCGAAAGCCAAGAGCAAGGCCACATGCACCGCCGAAGAGCCACAGGAGGAGGAAGAGGAAGAGAATCAGGAAGAGGAGGAAGGCATCGCAGCGGAACCCAAGAAAAAGGCAACCCCGAAGTCGAAAGCTGCAACAATCCGCAGGACAAAGAAAAGAGCCTTGAAGCGCAAGAATGCAAAGGAGAGCTTGGAGGAGGATGCTGCAAAGAGCACGAAGAGCAGGGCCATCACCGCACGCACACCCCCGAAAGTCCGCCTGCATGGGAAGACCAAGCCTGCAAAAAATCAGAAGGTACCTCCGGCCCCGCATCCGGATGAAGCTGACACCCAGCTCGAGAACCTATGGAACCAGTCAGGTGATGACTCCGATGGTTTGGCACCGCAGCATGAGGAGGAGGAGCACTCGGAACACCATGATGACACGGAGCACACAGAACAGGATGATGACGAGGAGCAAGAGGATGATGGCCAGGAGCACCCAGAACAGAATGATGAGGAGCAGCAAGAGGATGATGGCGAGGAGCACCCAGAACAGCATGATGAGGAGGAGCAGCCAGAAGAGGACAAGGATGATGACCAGGATTCTCCCGAGTGCCTAGGCATCGAGTTAAGGGGTTTAGGTCGATCGTGCAACTTATGCTTCCAATCATTGAAACTGAATAAGGTCCTGTCTGACCTTCAAAGCCGGGCAAAACAGCCTGAATTATGCGGGCGAGGCAGCACTTCGTGGCACGCTTGCTCGAGGCGACTCCCTATCTGACTTGTCGGATCTATTGAAAACGTCCCTTGTCCTCAATCCAATGCCTGAAACCTTAAACTATCTATGTAGCCACACACCCCCATGTTACCAGTTGAAACCTAATCATGATCCAAGGCTTGGTCCCAGTGCCAGCCAACTCGGCTACGCAGAGGAGCTAAGCGGCTTGCTTCGACGTGTTGATGGTTTGGTGCAAAGCAAGGAAGCCGAGTCTAGTGCGAAGGCAGCAGCAGCCAAGCCCGAGCCAGGATCAAAGCCTGCATCCCCACCCAAGCGAAAAAAGACAGGAGCAAAGCCCGCATCCCCGTCCAAGCAAACAGCTGAATCACCCGAGAAGCCGTCAGCTGCCAAGCCACCAGCCCCGGCCGCACGCAAGCCCGCAATCCTGGCCCTGCCGGCCACGGCTGGTCAGGGTGAGGGTCAGGAGAGAGAGGGTGTTGTCAACAGCACGACACACAAGAAAGCTTACATGAAGATGGCCCCTAGTCTTAACTATTTTTATTGTGATGTCGAAGGCCCTATTCCCACATGCTGAGGACCGCTTTTACAAGGCTGGCAAGTTCGACGGGTGCCCGAACGTCAAGATGCTCATGGAAGGCTCGCTCGAGGATGCTTGGACTTCAAATCAATTTCTACATATGGGTCTTACAACACTCAGAAATGCTTGGGCTTACTCAACTACAACCTTAACCCCAACCACTCTAAACCCAAACTCCTAAACCTTAACCGCGAACCCCTAAACCCCAAAAACCTAAACCCCTAACTCCCTAACCCCTAAACCCTAAATTGAAGGATCGCAACAAAGCCCTGCGAGAGTGGGTGGCTTTCGGTGGCAATGCAGCCCAGATGGAAGCCAAGCTGAGCTTCGAGCGAACGAGCTCGGTTCTTGGACAGCGGGTGTGGGAACAGGTTGCGGTGAAGGACATGCGGCATCCGCCGTATTCGTTCAGCAAGCTGCCCGGTGTTGATTTAATGCAGTGCATGTGCTATGTGCTTGCTGCAATGATAATAGCTCTTCAGTTGCTGTTGGTACGCATCACCTGCACTGAGACGAAAGATTGAAAGCATTATCAGCCGTGGCGATGGCGAGGAAGATCCGGATGCTCCGGGATGTTTGGAGGAGACCAGGTTTTGGTGTGTTGTGAAACGCATCAAGACAGAATCTGAAAGCCAAGTGCCACTCGCTCGAAAGTAAATGTTTGTGTGCTATCAAACAAGCACTCCAATCCTCCTTATGATGAGCTCAGGATGCGAGCCTCGATGAACGCCAACATGCAGGGCTCTGTGGGGATGCTAGATGGCCTCATCGCGAATGGCAATCAGAACATGCCTGGGATACTCCGACGGGCCAAATCTTCGAATGCGGTCAACAAGCCGTTGTCGGGAGATGTGCTACGTGCCTTTGATGACTACAACAAAGATCTGGCCGAGGCTGCTCAAGGCAACCTACGAGTCAACTTCCGTAGTTGTCATGAATGTAGAGTGGGGTGGGGTTTGTCATTCGGCACAGCTAGACAATGAAGGCTCGGTGTTGATGCTAGGCTGTGGTCTGGGACCTGGGTCGTGCTTTTTGGAGTTCGGTTGTGGTGAGTTTGGGGTTTATAATATCCAGTAGCCATAATCTCATTATGCATAAAACCCTATCTCGCTTAAATCAACAGCGGCTCTAGCCAAAACCCCCACCCATCCCCGACTATCCGGATATATCAACCTCATGCAATGTAGTCTTGTATGATTCGAAACCTCAACTCTTAAACCCGGCAACCCATTGAAACTTAATCCCCGTGAAGGAAGTCATACTCGCGAGGTGCCCCCCCGAGCAATGTGGTCACCATTTAAAGCAAGTCGATACCTCCAACCCATATGAAATCAAATTCGGAGCCAAAGTGCCTTCTTTGGAACCTACAGAAGCAGCCCTAGCATTGTCGTTTCGAAACAATTAACCAACCTAAACCCATTATACCCCAATCTTAAGCCACCCGACAACTCCTCCTGCCAGTTGCTCCGCCGGCTGGTGGCCGCAGACGTGGAGCAGCCTCCACCCGTGGGCCTTCCAGATCGGTCGCATCTTCGGTTGTTGGCAGGAAGTCGCTCATCGAGGAAAGTTTCCGGACGGACGAAGAGAAGCATAGCAAGTTCAGCTTCTTGTCGATATTATAGGCACGAACTTTCGAGACTGGGGGTATGGTATGATCGAGTTGCACCCCAGGTCAAGCTGTGAAGAAGGAGATCGGTGCGATGAGCACCCTGCTCCTCGATTTGCAGCAATGCAACTGCCCGGACTTGCTCAAAAATCTCAAAGACCACGACGCCAAGATTAAGAAATTGGCTCTGAAGCCACTTGGCTGTATATGTGTGTAGACGGCATGTGTGATACTCATGTTCAACGAAAGCAGAGGGAGCAAGAGAGATATGGGGAGACAGAGGAGTGTGGTAGGGGTCTGAGAGATCTGTTCATATACGCATACACATGTGTGCACACATGGTGGCTTGCAGGCTGGGTATGCTCAAATCCGGGCCGGAGTTCGACGACCTGTGCCAGGAAGCCTTTGACGAGGCTCATTTCAGATATTTCACTATCACTATACCTACTCTGCCATCCCCCTTCAAACCCAAACTCAAAACATTCCCGCACTCTGCTCCGCCCCTGACAGATCGAGAAGCTGAAGCTTGTCAAAGGGCAAGCCAGTGGCCTCCTGAAGGAGCTTCGCAAACGACCGTGACCGCAGCCTAGGGATGCACGGGGTTGGGCGGTGCTTAAGATTGAAGTTTGAGGAGTACTATAGTAGATGTTTTCACTTTGTCTGTCGGGGCCCCGAAGTGCATTTGCTGCAGCCCGGTACGTCGTATGGAGTCGCCCAAACACTGGCTGGGTTCAAGCTAGACCCATAAATACACCAACATGTACAAGTTGGGCTTCTTCGTCGCATTTTGATACCGAGCCTTCTGCATTAGCAGTGGGAACATTACGATCATCGGAGATCCGTTTGGCTGTTGTCCCTGATCAGTGCTAGAACCATAAACCCTAGCTCCGATTCCCTAAACCCGAGATAACCCTAACTGAAGACAAAAACCTTCTGCAACAACCCCAACCCCAAAGCTCTAAACTCCTAAACCTGACCCTGAACCCTAAACCTGAGTTAAGTGTATCAAGATCAGCCTTCAACAGCTTTCAACCTGCCGCAAAAGAGTTGCAGCGGGAAGGGGTTTGGGCCGTAGGCTCAGTACCAGCCGCAATATTCAAACTACTTTCTGGGAGTGCTGGTACTGACACTGGCCCGCTAGCCGTATGAGTGATCGCAGAAGAAGCCTAGGGGCAGCCGTGCTTGAAAAAGGTTGCTTATTTATATGCTGGAATATACTGCACCTGGTGTTACCCAACCTTAATTCACTAGTACCTAGACCAAACTTCCCCTGGCCCCCGCAGGCAAGCCTTCGTCTGGATCCAAATCCACTGCTGAGCGCCTCGATGATTTGTTGCTCGGCTTTTATGTTCTGGCTTAGCTGCTTTGAGGCTTGAAGTTGCAGCAAAGCCGAGGCTAGTCAAAGCGACAACTGACGGTGATGCGAGCCTAAAGCTGACATGCGACCTCGGAACCTTGTGCTTAAATCAGTCTTCGTGTTCCTTTTGATTTCTAGAACCCTCGAAGTTGCTAGATCGTTGAAGTGACAACCCAGGTGACACCTATGACAGTTCTCTCTTGCACGGTTACGAGAGTCGTCCTCTGCGGGAGGATGAGTACATGTCTAGAGTTCGCAAAGCTGGGTATGCACTGCCGACTGAAGTCACCTATGTGGCTGCACCAGTCATCCGTGGAGAGGAAGAAGAACCCATCATTGAGCACTGTCCTGTGGTGCTGCCATCCTCTATGGTGCTTTGGCTTACTTAATGACCAGCATATTTGCGAATGATTTGTAGCTCCCAAAGTACCCAATATTCGCAGCCCCCCACACATAAGCTCTTATTTGCTTGGCCAAAACAACCCTACCCTACACTGCAAACCCGTGATATAAGCCCTGAACAACCCCCCAAACCCTTGAATCCCTAGAAGCCACAATCTAACTTGAGGCCACGGCACTCATTGAGGAGCTTTTTGTGGACTCCATGTATCCATCGAGCTCAGATCTGGAAGCCTATTGGGCCCAACTCCTGCCTGACTTCAATGGACATTGGCTTACTCAGCACCCAGATATCTGGCATTGCACAATCCCCATAGTCCTTTGGGGCGATGAGGGGACCCTGAATAACAGCTCGTGGATGGTGGTTTCATGGCCGCTGAAGCTGCAATCCTAAATCAAAGATTGAGTAGAGATCTTCCTAGTATTCAACCGGCTTTGGCAGTTAATCTTGACTAGATAGGCACGCAGACTATCTAAGGACCGCTGATCTCAGTATATTCCGCGAGCACAGCAAGGCATCCCGCTACATGATCTACTCGCTTCTGGCTAGCAAGTACTGGATACAAGGCAAAACCAATGAGACCCTCCAGCAACTGAACGCTGCAGTGGCCAACGACATCAATGGAGTGATGCAGAAAGGCATTGAAACCACCTCCGGAGATTCTTGCCCAACAGACCCGGTTCGTACTAGGTTTTGGGTGGGTGTGTGTACACATAGCCCCTCATAAGAAGTTTTGGTGGGTGTAAAATTCGGTTGTTATGTATGGGGATACATAGCAAAAGCCTTAATTCAAGTCATAGCACAACCTCCTACAGTTTTATCTGAGGAAACCTATTATTTTGTTGTGGTGGCTTTTCGTGGAGATCTGAAATATTTGACCCAGTGCTTCAACTTCGTGCGCAATTCGAGCACTGACAAGGCCCGCAGCACTGTGCCAACCGTTTTGGCAGATGTTAGCGGGCTCGTGGTTTGGGTTACAATGCGGTCTAGTTTAATGGTTAGGGTCGTGCTGGTCAACATATTTCGACTCTGCAGGTGTGCTTCAAATGCTTGGCATCAAGGTCCGATCCGGCTATGATCTACACTGACATCAATGCTGATGCTGGTTGGACAGCGACCGAATTTTGCGATGTGGAGCCGCCGTGGGTGGACCCGCCGGCTTTTGCTGCTATCGATGGGTTTGATCTTCGCATGGTTCAAGTGGACTGGATGCACACATGGTCATTGGGAGTGGCACAAGACGTGCTGGGAAGTGCCATCAAACTTATGTGCAAAGGCAAGATGTTTTACACAGGATCCAATATACAGAAACGGCTCAGCCAGTTTTACCGAGATCTCAAGATCTATGCAGCTGCGAACGGCAAAGCTTTGTCTTGTAAAAGACTTCGTAAGCGCACTCTTCGCTGGGAAAATGGCTGCCCTGAGCTGCACGTCAAGGCTGCAGACATTGCGGTGTTTTTGCCTTTCGTACTTGCGAAGCTGCAAGAGGTTCCGATGGAGGGGCCTTACACTGGCCTGCTTGCGATGGTTTGTGCAGCTGACGAATTTTCCCGCTCCGCCATGGCAAGCAGGACGTTTTTGACAGTGGACCAACAGCAGCACATACGTACAGTGGGCGATGTCTTCCTGTCTACCTTCTGCCTATTGGCACAGCAAGCACGGGACAGAGGCGAATACTACTTCAAGATGCGTCCAAAATTTCATCATTTGATCCACATGGTCAGAGACAGTCGACCGAGCAGAAGGTCTCCGGGTTGGGACAACTGTTACATGGATGAGGACCATGTGCGACACTGCATTCGTGTTCTGCGCAAAGTAAGTCATCGGACGGCAGAGAAAACATTGCTTCTTCGAAATGCTGTGCAGGTGAAGCAGACCATGCTGCAGTGCTTGCGGTAAACTCGAGACTTTTCGCTGGGGCGAGAAAACGAATGTCGGTGGCCGAGTGCGAGAGTGGGTGGCTTTCGGGTTTAGAGCTTTCCTTATTCGGGCCCTTGCTGTCGGGCTAAAGTTTCGGGTATTTGGGGTTTGCTGTTCCGCCGTCCCCATTTCCGAGTTCAGGGCTTTCAAGGGCGAGGGAGAGACGGAGAGACACCCCAAATCCCAAACCTCAACTGTGCACCTGCCAGACCCCAAACCCCAAAACCGCAAACCTTACAAA